CCGCTCATGTAGCGCCGCAAATAGAGATTGAATTCATTGAGTTCAAAATTATTATCCTCGTTCCATAGATTTGTGTTTGCTGTCTCCCATTCTATAACATACGGCTCTAGTCTTACTAGCCACTCAGCAGTTGTCCTAGTCACGCCCTTCCTTGTTGTCCTAAAATTGTGGTGTGTGTTCAATAATTACCTAAAGCTTCGAATGGAGTACTATGAAAGATAATGCAACATTGAAAAACTGGTTAATACCTGTGGATGTGGTCTGGCACCGGGATCTCTATAGGGGGAGGCAGCTCCAACTGCAGAAGACCAAATTGTCTCATAACCCTCTGTTGTGCCATCTCCTCAACGAAGACATCAAAGATGATCTTTGATTTTGTCATCCAGTAATCTCTGTCCCTTGTGCATAGCACGGACATACCACCAGGGTATCTCGCTTGTATGGCTGCTTCCGTATAGGGCTGCCAGATGACCCCGGTGTACGCATCGAACTGCTCGTTCAATGCTGTGTATGCTTTCCTGGTCTGATCACTAGCAAAGCGTCTCTGCAGAAAACAAAAGTTAGTATCCGCTAGCATCGAACTATCTCTTGTGCAGGAAAAAGTTGCATTAAACTACAACACGGTGCATACCTTGCGACGTGTCCAACACAGACCGAAAGTAGGCATGTCGATGCCGTCAACATCAAACATGGCGTCTATAGGCTCATGAACACGTACATCTGGTCACCCTATAGAGAACCTCTCCCACGACCACAGCTGTAGGAATAGAGGGCATCCAAGAAGGGCTGGCTTTTTCGATGTAAGCTGGCAAGCGTTGCACATACCTCGGTATGTAGCCGCCAAGACTGCCGAACCCCAACTCCTCTGTCTGATCTGATCCGCCGTCTGAGCGCTCGCTATCTCGAGTGCCATAGGGATGTAGAGCGCGCTAATAGTGGTGACATGGTTCTCTGTGAACATCACCTTCCCGAAAAGCCACATTAAGTAGGCCTCCAGGCTCCGAGTGATCTGTTCTGCATTCAACGGCGCCTGGAAGTTCTGGATCTGCATTAAGCAAAGAGAAAGTTTTAGTAAGCCGCAGTTATTTTTTATAAAACCGTATGCACGATAACTTGAAGATAAGAGGTAGGGCAAATTACCCGGAAATTGAGCAACCACGCATACGTAGGCCCGTGATGCTCCCATACCGGATCCGGAGCACCCGGAAAAACCCCGTGAAAACGTTGTGTAAGAGCTTGCTCCCAACCAGCCGGTGCTTCCAACGGTCCTATGGCATGACCTGCCAACGGTAGTCTGAGCAAAAGTGACACATCCTCAAGAGTAGGAGCCATTTCTCCCCATCGAAAGTGAAACGTGTGGGTCTCTGGCCTCCAACGGTCCACTAAGCAGCTCAGCAAGGACCCGTCGATGGCGAGGCGTTTCTCATCCGGGATAGACTCAACCAGACGCGCGAAAGGTAAAAGGCCGGCCCATTTCAACCTTCATCAGAGAACATTTCAGTTATTGTCTCCCATTAATATGCATGTCAGTGTGCAAATTAATAAAGCACGTACCGCTGTAGCCATCCTGGGTGTATCCTCCAGTTGTCCTTAGGAGAGCGAGTGACCAGAGGCTCAAGCTTGCGCTCATACCATATCGCAGCACGATGAACCCTATCAATGTCCCCGTTCAGCAACCACAGTCCCGACATTCCTGCACATAAAAAATTCAGAACATAGTGTCACACTTAATACAAATTCAGAACATAGTGTCACACTTAATACAAATTCAGAACATAGTGCCACACTTAATACAAATTCAGAACATAATGTCACACTTAATACAAATTCAGAACATAGTGTCACACTTAATACAAATTCAGAACATAGTGCCACACTTAATACAAATTTAGAACATAGTGTCACACTTAATACAAATTCAGAACATAGTGCCATACTTAATACAAATTCAGAACATAGTGCCACACTTAATACAAATTCAGAATATAGTACTGCTAGCTTAGGTTCTTCCTCTCCCTCTTACTCCTCTGTTTCCTCTACCTCCTCTTCGTCCCCGGTTGCCTCGTCCATGCCCAGTGACGAAAGTGGGACAATTAGTGTCCCTATGGCCAAATTCATTGCATAGAATGCATTGAATAGTCGGACCTCCTGCTTCAGATTCGTCCATATCATTCTGGATGCACTGACACTGTCGTCTGCCTTTACTTGTACGCATATGCTCTGGGTTTGGAATGTAACACCTGCACTATCTCATCGTAAAACAACCGAGCTATAAGCGTGGATGAAAGGTTGGCATGATCTTGAGGGATGCAGGGAATAAGACAAGTGTGATTAACTAAGTCACTTATCACCCAACTTGTGCCATACTTGGGGAGAAAACCGTGCACCCTAGCAGGACAATCTGCATTCTTGCATACCATTGTCAGGAATTTTTGACTGGACACCTGAGTTGTGAAAACCCTTTGCATGGACATTGCCCAATTAATTATTGCATCCTTCAAGGCTTGCTTGTTCAGATACATAGCACCCGTTGCAATATTGTTCTGATGATATTGCCAGGCTGAATCATGTCCATCATTCACGGTCATTGCAGATGAGAAGTCATGATTCTACCATGCAGGATTCAGGACCTCCGCTGCATTTTCTTCTTCATCTGACTCGCCAGAATCATCGGCATAACCCCTTTCAACATCAGTGTCTTCTTCTTCCATCTGGTCCTGCATGTGCCCATCTACCTCGTCAGCGTCAACCTCGCCATTGTATTCACCATCGGCATTTCCCCCTTCTACCTGATTATTCTGCCCTGGTTCATAACCATAAGCATTTCCTCCTTCTACCTGACTGCTCTGTCCTTGTTCGTAACCATCATCTCCAGCATTTGACATAGATAGCCGCCTACCTACACTGCTCTACCCAGGATCGTTGCCACCTTGGCCTTCATGTGTAGTGACCCCCTTCACGACGGGAAGCACTAAAGCAATAGGATTGCATCCCCTTCGTTCACAACCTTGTAACCACCACACCCAATCGGAGTCTCACTCTATTGGACTCAAATAAAAGTAAATTATTGTACTTGACCGTGTCCACAATGCATGAACACCGACGGTGTGTGTTTCAGTATCAAGACCTAAACTTGCCGCAATCCATTCTTTCAACTGACTGACAGACCATGTTTGAGGTGCGCTCATTGGCACATCTATGTGAGTAAATTCACTCAGATCAGCTCCCATCTCAGTTGTTTGGACGGTACCAGGACCGTAGTAAAATCTGATGTTCACTACATCTGACATCTCGGCTCACCTATTTTTTTTCACAACGAAATACAATTATTAAGCAACAACTTAAAATACCCGCACTAACAAATATTAGGCACTAAATAGTTGACATCTAAATAAAATGCTCACCGGAACCGGAACGGGAAAAAAATGCTCACCACGAAAGATTTTAATATTTCACTGACTGCCTATATTACGGATTTAACCGGAGCAACTACAAATATTGACAATCCTAATTAGTACACATCCATATATAGTCCGGAATATTACCGGAGCAACTACACATTTTTACACAACTAATTAGTTGATATCTAAATAAAATGCTCACCGAAACCGGAACGGGAAAATAAAATGCTCACCACGACCACCTAAATATTTACGTTTACTACTCGAGCAAATAATATTCATATAGTCCGAAATATTACCGGAGCAACTACACATTTTTACGCAACCAATTAGTTGACATCTAAATAAAATGCTAACCGAAACGGGAAATAAAATGCTCACCACGACCACCTAAATATTTACGTTTACTACTCAAGCAAATAACAATAATTGCACGCAACTTCGAAAAATAAATGTTTGCTCAAATATACCCTTGAAGCGTGCGCGCGAACGACGAACGGCGGCCTTCAATCACCGGAACCGGAGCCGGAAACTCCACCAAACTCCTGCAGCTTCACCTCCACCACCACCTCCACCTCCACCACCGCCACAACCTCCACCTCCGCCTCCACAACCTCCACAAATGAGCTGAAAAAATGCTCCAACAAAATCTTCAGCACAACCACCACAAGCTACCCCATCAGTAGATCGAGGTGTCTTTTGGCTCCTCTAGCTAAGTAGAACCCATTCACGGTGCCAAATCCGCAAACAAGGGTCATTTTGGTGTATTAATTGGAGCTATTTCGGGTTGGAGAGAGGAGGAAGGAAGAAGAACAGAGAACGTTGTGCTGTGCGTGAGGTGGGGAAGGAAAGGAGAAGGAGAAGGGAAAGAAAAAGAGGCTGCGCTGCGGGCCCGCTCCCTGTCGGCCTGCCGCTGGCCGATCGGTCGGCAGCTGGCTGACTGGGGCGCCCGTGAGTGCGCCTGCGCCGGCAGCTCCCGGGGCGACGTGGCCGGGCCAATAGTCGGCCCAGCGTGGCCGATTGCCTCCCTGTCGGCCTGCAGTTGGCCGAGAAGGCCCTGTCGGCCTGCAGCTGGCTGACTAGGAGCAGTCGGCCAGCTGTGGGCCGATTGGATAATATTTTCGAAAAATATTATATCAGCGTAATATTTTTGTAAATTAATAAAAAAAATATTATTTTAAAAAAATTAGCAAGAAGGAGAGGTTTTATGTTTTTGAGTTTGTAGAAGCCTCTATTTTTTGCAAGAGAAGCAAGTTGATTGGGTGTCTTTTTGGTCCGTTTGCCTCTTCTTTTTGCTGGCAATAATATTCAGCATGGTACTAGCGCATGTCCATAGTCTTTTTTTTTAGCCCCATTAGTTCAGTTGTTCTCAGGACTCAGTTTTTGTTCTGCTGTTTTGGTAGCGGGTCCAGTCCAGCGTACATACAGGCCAACCTGTCAACACACATGCATACAAGGCCCGGGTGTGATATCAGATGAAAATCGACATACATGCAGTGCGCGGGGAACATAGATGATAGACATACATGAATTCGACTGAAGCCTAATTCAATTTCAGTCGACTTCTAAATAGACACTCCTTCTGAGCACGCCAATGGCCTAGCCGCCCAGAGCACCGAGCCTTTCTCTGACATCGGCGCCGTAGTGCTGAGGCATAATCGGCGGCACCGGAGACACTGCAAGACAGTTCATTTGGTAAGTTGATATACGTACGTTCAAATGAATCTCTTACGATGTAAGAAAGGAGTAAAACAGACAAGGATGTTTCAAACTCACGGATGCACATGAGAAGCAAGTCCGGGGGCACGATCGTGCTACACGTCAGAGGCAGCACGAGCAAGCGAAGCTGGTCGATCTCCCCCCTGGCCAATGTACTCAGGTTGCCGATGATGGCATGGCACAAGCAGATCCGGGCGCTGCTGCCGACGAGCGACCTGAAGCCGTCGCAGCATGTACTCGGCGGCGCGGGTACGGAGTCGGTGAGGTACGGAGCGCAAGTTATCACACGCCCGAGCGGTCCCAAGCAACTGGCCAGCTGCTGCGAAGGCGAAGGCGAAGGCGCGCCTGCCATGCCCGGGAAGCCGGGCAACGGCGGTAACGCGGGCACGCCAGGTAGAGGCGGCGGTGCCGGGATGAAGACCGAGACGCCGGTGTACGGTGAAGCCGGCGAGGAGGTAGCCGCTACCGGTTCGGCTTCGGCGAGGTGTGGCACTGATGGCGCCTTGAGCGCCTGTGCCCTCTCTTCCGATGGTGGCGGGTCCCCGGTGAATGGTGAAGCCGGCAAGGATGTAGCGGCTGCTGCTTCAGCTTCTTTGCCTCCGGCGAGATGTGGCGCTGATGGCGCCACTGCCTGCACCCTCCCTTCTGATGGTTGTTGCAACATCGCCGCAGCGAGTACGGCTTGCGCCACGAGCAAAACTAGTGGTGATCTGGTTGGCTCCATGCCTCCATCACAAAGTGTTCTCAACTTGAGCCAAGTCACGTACGTGGCGTTGCATTGCATTGGTTCAGTGCTCTTGCTGGCAATTTTATAGCGGCTTCGGGCGTCAATTCATGCTTCTTGTCACTCCTTATTATCTGAACCACACGCTCACACGTTCTTTGTACTCGTTTCTTTCCAGGCTCCCCTGGTACAGAGTAGGTAAGGGCAACTCCAAAGTTGTTCACCAAATCAGACACAGGACGTTTATGGTTACGTCCAAACATTTTCGTGGAAAGGAGACGGTCATTCAATTTTTTCACCGCCTATGTTTCTTTCCTATATCTGAAACGCTCAATTTTTTTAAAAATTATGGGCAAAGGAGATTTTTTTTGTTTAAAAAAAATTAAAAATAAATATCTCCTTCGCCCATAATCATGTCGTGCAAGTATTTCAATGCAATTCAAATATGAATACTACAATCAAACACGAAGTTTTATAGATAAAATAGTATAATTTCGTGTTCAACTTATTCGGACATATTTTATTGGTTCTCCGTTCGAAGCGCCCGCAGATGCTTAACCAGATCATTTGGAAACCACTCATTAGTTCTCGATGATGAATCCATTGGATGCAGGAAACTACTTATTAGTTCTTCATGCATAGAAAACTACTCAAATATTTTCTACCATCCAGGGGTAGTTACCTTCATGTAAGTTTTGTATGTTGTATGTAGTATCTGTTATAATTAAGAGTATGTATATGTAGTATGTAGTATATAAGAATGTTTGTATATATACTATTTTTTAGGTAGTGTGTATCATATTTTGAGCATACTCTTTTTTACGTAAAAATATGTATGTATTTCACAAACATAACAAAAAGTCAAAAACTATGGTTTCACATGCAATTTTTTTTGTAACTTGCTTTGTAATATCATAGATATAGTATATGAACATACTTAGAATGATAAAGTTGTTCACCAAATGAGACACAGGACGTTTATGGTTACGTCCAAACATTTTCATGGAAAGGAGACGATCATTCAATTTTTTCATCGTCTATGTTTTTTTCCTATATCCGAAGCGCTCAATTTTTACAAAAAATTATGGGCAAAGGAGATTTTTTTTTCGTTTAAAAAAAATAAAAATAAATATCTCCTTCGCCCATAATCATGTCGTGCAAGTATGTCAATGCAATTCAAATATGAATACTACAATCAAACACGAAGTTCTATAGATAAAATAGTATAATTTCATGTTCAACTTATTCGGACATATTTTATTGGTTCTACGCTCGAAGCGCCCACAGATGCTTAACCAGATCATTTGGAAACCATTCATTAGTTCTCGATGATGAATCCATTGGATGCAGAAAACTACCCATTAGTTCTTCAAGCATAGAAAACTACTCAAATATTTTCTACCACCCAGGGGTAGTTACTTTCATGTAAGTTTTGTATGTTGTATGTAGTATCTGTTAAAATTAAGAGTATGTATATGTAGTATGTAATATATAAGAATGTTTAAGTAGTATATATACTATTTTTTAGGTAGTGTGTATCATATTTTGAGCATACTCTTTTTTACATATCCAGTTGCCGGGCTTAGAGTACTTTGTTTATATACACACTACCTAAAAAATAGTATATATACTACTCTTATACTTTTAGGTAGTGTGTATCATATTATCCATTACCTTTGTTTATATATACTATTTTTTAGGTAGTGTGTATCATATAAACATATATACTTTGAAGCCCACGCCTCTCTAAAAGTTGCCGGGCTTGTTCGAAATGTGACAGATACATCTATCCAATTGCATATCCAGTTTCTTGCACAACTACATATAAACAAATGTAATGGATAATTGAAGGTCAATGACCTAGCCTCTTAATAGTAACTTCAAGAAAAACCATGTGCATCCATTAACCTTGCATTAAAAATACATCATCTCACCACGATATGAAACAGTGCTACTGTAATTCCACATCTATTGTAACAGAAGCACACCGACCATAATGATAGGCACTTTACATGCTCATTTGATTTCTAGATACATCAACATTACCATAATATGGGGATTCCTGCCTCTAGTGACAAGGTCAAGACTCAGCATAGGTCGCATGTTGTAAAAATCTCCTAATCTAAAAGCATTCCCCTAAGAGACCCGCTTTGGTACACCCCCCTCACAAAACGTATAAAGAGCAACATAGACTTTTCACAGATTAGTATGATGGGTCACCCGGAACATATATACGCACAAGGATGACAGCGACTGGGCAAGAATCAAACTCTGGACTTCCAGCTTCTCACCAAGTGCAGCTAGCCACTAGAGACAATGACTGCTGGTGACTGATATAAGCGCAAACCATTTAAGAATGGACAGTAATGGCAATATTGACGGTAGCAGCTTTCCTTCGCTATACCGTACAATTTTTTTAATTATTTCCAAACATTTTGGACAACACTAACATGTTTTGGAAAAAATGTGAATAAAATTACAAATTTCAATAAATTTTATGAAAAAACCCAACATTATTGGACATTTCGAATTTAAAAAGGAACAAAATTTGAACACTAGATAAGTTTTCAATATTACGAACAATTTCTTGAAATCCCCTGATTTTTTTTTCAATTTGTGAACAAATTTTAAACATGATTATTTTAATTTATATTTTTTAAAACTATAACATATTTTAAAATTCACCAAATATATCTGGAATTTGTGAACAAAATTTAAAATATGAAATTTTTTTGAATTTGTGAATAAATTTTGAAAACAAAGATATTTGTAGAAGTTTCCAAACATGTTTTAGTTTTGTGAGAAACTTTTTTAATTTCCAAATATATTCGAAGAAGCGAACAATTCTTAAATATTAAATTAATATTTGAAAATAGAAACATTTCTTAAAATTTGGAACAAATTCTGGAAAATGCAACATTTTTTATATTTCTGAACATTTTTTAAAAAGAAAAAGCTTTGCAGAAAAATAAAAAAGTAACACAAAATGAAAAAGGAAAAATGAAAGAGAAAACAAAACAAAACAAAAAACAGAGAAGGAACAACACAGGAAAAAAGATTAGTTCAGGGAAGGTTCCAACAATCGGTGGGCCACTTGTGGAGACGTAGAAGTGAGCCGGCCCATATCCTCGCTCTGTGCATATCCCCGACAGTTCGACCGAGAAAATCCTACTCGCCGCTCGTTGCGGCAAGCTGTCGAAAAATTCAAAAAATGTTCATGGTTTTAAATTTTTATTTGGAATTAAAAAATGATCCCTAAAAAAAGGTTCACAAATTCTTAGAATGTTCGCATTTTAGAATTCATAAAATATTCACGTTTCAAAAAAATATTTGGAATTTCATAAAATGTCCCTTTTTCCAAATTTGTTCACAAATTCAAAAACATTTCGTGTTTTCAAAAAATGTTCAGAAATTTTCGAAAAATGTTTCCAATTTTAAAAAGTTCATAATTTCAAAAACTGTTCGTGTTTTCGAAAAAATATTTACTTTTTGGAAAAATGTTCGAAATAAAAACAAAGGCCAAAAAACCGATTCGCTACAGCAAACTGGATCACTACTGTACATAGGTGCTACAGTGCTCGGTTCGCTGCAGTAAACCTCCGCACCGCTCTCTACATTACGTCCAGGTTTCTCCGGCCTGATGCTGCTTGTGCATGGGCCGGTCTACCCACCGATGAACCCCTGTGCGGCAGGCTCGTATTTAACGTAAAGAGCGTCAAATAGATCGTTTGACCCAGCGAGCAGCAACGATGGCGCCACACACAGGAGGCTACCCGACTGGAAAGGCCCATTGTCCCTTAGCGACCGGTTTACTGTAGTGAATTTGTATGTTTATTGTTTCTTTTTCATTTATTTACGTTTTTCCTTTTCCAAAAATTCTCGCACTTTAAAATTTTGTTCAAAAATTCTTTGCCTCTTTACTATTTGTTCATTAAATACAAATATTCGTATTTTAGGTAATTATACAGAGATTTCAAAAAATGTTTCTGTCTTTTAAAATTGCTCAAAATGTCAAAACACGAACATTTTCTTGAACAGACCAAACGAAACTTTGAACACGAACATTTTTAGAATAATTCATTTAGAAACACTAAATTTGTTAGAAGTTCAAAATAGATTTAGAATAATGCAAACAACAAAAATGGGGTCATGATAAGAATGTCCAAAAATAAACCATGTTCAACGAAGCATCTCTGGGTGGCTAGAAGGCTCCGTCTCGTTTGAGAGCATGTTGTTTCTCGACATCCTTGAAACGACTCCATTTTTTTCGTGGCCTTGCATGAACAATCCAAGGCATCATGCCAAGTTGTTTGCGTTTTTGAGAGGTTTTACATTTTCTAGAGTTTTCTCGGTGAAAAAAGGCCGATAGATGGCTAGACGTGGGAACATGCATAGGGTGTCAGGAGTTGTTCAAACTAGGCATGGATGCCTACCATGGGTACGAACGCATGCTTGTAAAAGTTGGCATCATTTAGAGGATGTCTAAAAATAGATCATGTTCAACTATGGGTGTTCGGGTAGGCCGAAAGCGTCCGTCTGAGAGCACATTAATTTTTTGACATCCTTGAAATGGTCCCAGTTTTTCCACGGCCTTCTATGACCAATTCAGGGCACAATGTCAAGTTGTTTGGTTTCCGGTAAGTTTTTGCATTTTCTGGAGTTTTTTCGATCGAAAAAGGCTAGTAAATGGCCGGACGTGTCACGATTTGCATACGGTGTCGAAAATCATTCAAACCTGACATGGATGCCTACCATGGTCATGTCCAGTTGCTTGCAAAAGTTGAGATCATTTCAAAAATGTCTGAAAATAGACCATGTTCAATGGAGAGTGTTCGGGTAGGTCAGAAGGGTCTATTTGAAAGCACATTGTTTTTAAAATGTGTCAAATGGCCCCAATTTTTTTCCACCAATTTGTATGACCAATTCAAGGCATCATGCCAAATTGTTTTGATTTTGACAATTTTTGCATTTTCTGGAGTTTTTCTAGTGAAAAAGACCAA